TCCTGGGAGTGGAGATTACTGGATCAGAGGGATGTACCTGTTTGAAAACTCCTGACCCAGAAAGCTTGCCTGCATTCCTACACCACCTCCCATCCTGTCGGCTTTGCTTGCGTGACTGTTTTAAACAGTGACTTTACAGCAGCAAAAAAGTTTTGCACTGCTATTTTAATTTATTCTTCGTAAACTATTTAAATATGTTTATTGTGGATTATTAACAACTGTCTTTTAATATTAAGGAGATAATATTACACATTACGGAGAGCAACCATTTGTCTTACTTTAAGTGGGGAGACTGAAGTTTAGAAAGGATAATTTGCCAGGAGTGAAGCCAGAGCTTGAAGTGGAAGCACTTAAACTTACTTTTCTGTATAACATTTAGAATGAACTGAACCTACATTTAAATTATTCTTTTCTCATATCCTCCCAGACCACACAAGAATATTAGCATGCTTTTACATTTCTCTTTACCGTCATATGTTGATTCCATTGGGCACTTTTTTCTAATCATGTAATTTTTTATAAATTTTTTGGAGTCATTTTAGGTTTACAGAAAAGTTGCAAAGTAGCAGAGAGGGTTCCCATATACTTATCTAGTTTTAACTTCCCCTAAATGTTATTATCTTACATTGTTGTGGTATCTTTATAAAAACTAAGAAATCAACACTGGCACATTATTAACTAAATTTGAGACTTTATTTGGATTCTACCAGTTTTTCCTCTAATGTCCTTTTTCTGTTCCAGGATCCAGTCCAAGGCACCAAATTGCATTTATTTGTTATATCTCCTTGGTCTCCTGAGAACCTGTCACAGTTTTAGTTTTGCTTTTAATGATCTCGACACTTTTATTTTTCTTTTAGTAATCTCTACATGCGATGTGACCACTCATGACCCTGAGACCAGGAATTGCCTGCTCTTCCAACTGAGCCGGCCAGGCACCCCTGATCCTGACACTTTGCAGGAGTACTGGTTGAGTATTTTGTAGAATATTCCTGAATTTGGTTTTGTCTGAGGTTTCTCATGACTAGGGTTTTGGAAGGAAGGCCACAGAAGTGAAATGCCCTTCTTGCTACATCATATCAGGGGTGCCTAATAACCCTGGCAATGTTAACCTTCATCACTTAGGGCTTCATCACTTAGGGCTTCATCACTTCATCTGCCAGGTTTCTCCCCTGAAAGTTAGTTTCTCTCTTTCCATATTCAATTCTTTAGAAGTGAGTCATCTAGCTCCACCTGCTGGAAAAGAAAATACCTACATAATTTATTTGGAATTCTGTAAGGAAGATTTATCTCTTTCCTCTCATCTACTCTTATCAAATCAGTTTGTTTACCCATTATTATTTATCTACTCATTTATTAATTTTTCTAAATGCTTATTTTTTGTTTGAGTGCAAGCAGGGGAGGGGCAGAGATAGAGGAAGACACAGAATCTCAAGGAGGCTCCAGGCTCTGAGCTGTTGGCACAGAGCCCAATGTGGGGCTCGAACCCACAAACCGCGAGATCATGACCTGAGCCGAAGTTGGATGCTTAACCAACCGAGCTACCTAGCTGCACCTCTACTTGCCCATTTATTTCTATCAGTATGGGCTAATGGACATTTACTTTATGCTTGGAGCTGCAGTCCAGTACTGTTATTTATCTTGTTCTCAAATCGTTCTAGCTTTGCCATTGGAATTCTTTCAGGGTCCTGTGTCTGTTTGACAGACACTGACCTAATCCTTTTGTTGTTTGAGTCCTTCCTTACTTTCTGGACCTTCAGGCTCTTTAATTTCCAGATCCCTAAGATCTGGGAGCTGGGTATGCTTGTCACTCTTGGGGTATCACTGCTTCTAGACTTCTCAGGAGACAGGGCTAATACACATAACTATGTACCCTTTGACTTTTAAATCCCCAATTATTATTCATTTCTTTTTTATTATGTATTTCATCAACAACTATTTAAACAAAAGTTTTACTGGGGTTTTATTGTTGTTGACTACTGTTTCATTCTCAGATCTTCTTGCAAACAAATTCATTTCTCATTCTGCTGAAGAGGTCTGTGAGAAGTAAACTGAGTCCCTGAATGTTCAACAATGTCTATTTTGCTCTCAAATAGTAGGTCAAATATGAATTCCAGAATTAAAGTTGTTTCCCTCAGAATGTTCAAGGTATTGTTTGACTGTCTTCTAGCACCAATATTATCAAAAGGAAGGTGAATGCCAATCTGATTCTTACTCCTTTGTAGACAAGCTGGAGTTTGCTATTTTTGGTGTCTCTAAAAGCTATTAGGATTGTTCCTTCACTGTTGGTTCTCAAATGCCAGAAGACCGGTCTTTCCTTGTCTCTTCAACGTTTTCTTCTATTTCCTCTTCTGTTTTCTCTTTTCTCTCTCTTCTGGAACTCCTATTCAATCTACAATTTTGGGAGCTTCTTGACTGATTCCTCATGTCTCAGTTTTTCTCTTACATCTTCTCTGTTGATCTCTGTGTGCCCAGAGGCTTGTTTTCTAGTTTACAAATTTGTTTCAACTGTCACCATTCCGCTATTCAGTCCATTTAATGAGTTTTAGGTTTTCATAATTTCCAAGTTCTGACCTTTTTAGCACCAAATCTGGTTTTATGAATTTAAAATTTTCTCTCCTTAAACACATATTTATCTCAAAGATGTCTTCATTCTGTATTCATATTCCCATGTGTTCTTTTTTCTGTTGGTTTGGCTACTCCTGGTTAACTGCTACTGATTTCTGTTTCAAAAATCATTGTTCAAAAACCCTTGGCTGTTAGCTATGAGTAGAGGGGCCTATCTCCAGTAACAGTGGAAGAAGGGCAAATATGCCAAGAGTAGCTCATCTTCAAAGCCTGGGGCTCCCTATCTACCCTGCAACTCAATACTCCCCAAACCCTGCTCTGCCTCTCTTGCTCCAGAACTACATACACTGCTGCAGGCTGTAGTCCAATGCCTATGATGCCTGTTGCTTAGCACACAGCCAGAGAAGCATACATACTTCACCACTCTGTCTTCTGTGAGCCCAGAGGATGTAGAGCAGCTCCATCTTGCATTCTGAACATGTACCAGATTCTTCTCTCCTCTATTGATCCTATGCCAACTACTGCCATCTTACAGAAATTTCTCAATATGGATCTACCAGTGGAACTTCTCTCATTTTCTAGTGCTAATATACCTTGTTTTTAGTAATTCACTTTTACAAAGAATTTAGTGTGTCAGATAAGGCAAATGTGGGTGCTTGGTTTGCCATTTTGATCCCATCTGTTTCTATATTCTTTAGTGACACTGGTCTACAGATAAGGTACAGGGGTATGTGTGTATAAACGCTTTGCCAGGTGTTCCTCTGAAGAGAATGTTGGCTTCATAAAATTTACTAGATAGATCATATGGTACTCATTTTAACTGTTCTTTGAAAGTTTGGAAAAACTTATCAGTGAAACATTATACCTATACACCTGCAGGGTAATTTTTTGATAACTGTTCTAATTATTTAAGTGGTTCTTAGTGTTTCCAGAGCTTCCATCTCTTTTTTATTTATAAAGTTTTAAAACAAGCTTTGCTCATGTTAGTTTTATAAATGCTCAAATCTTTTATCTAGAATTTTTAAAAACTTACCATATAAAATTGATTTCTCTCAATGTTTTTTTATTCTAATTTCCAATGTTGTGTTTTCCTTTTTACCCCAAATCTATATACACTTTGATTAAAAAAATTTTTTGCACATAAAGAATAAGGTCCTATATATTAATGAAACTATTATTTTTGGTCCATTAATTTCTGCCTTTATCTTTCCTCAGAGTTATTTTTCATTTTTTAACATCTTAAATTGACTTCTTAGTTTATTTGTTTCCATTTTTATTTAATATTAACAATAAAAGATAAGGCTAACTGCAACATAGTATCCTGGTCTGGAACCTAGAACAGAAAGAGGACATTAGTGGAAGAAGTGATGAAATCGTAACCTATAGTGCAGTTAGCAGTAACTTACCAATGTTAATTTCTAATTTTGACAATCAATTATATAAGATATCAATTTTAGGGGATACTGGGTGAAGTATAGGAAAGTTCTATATTATCTTTCAAACTTTTCTGTAAATCTAAATTATTCCAACATAGAAGTTTATTTAAAATAAAAAAAGTATATAACTCTATCAAGAACTAAAAGTTCTAATATGTGGCATTCCTACACCATGGCTTTCTAAGTAATTTCCCATAGAATACTTATTCTTTTTTTATTTAGTAATTTTAATTTCTAGTTCATAAAGTTTTTTTAATTAAAAAGATTTAAAAAATTTTTTAAATGTTTTATTTATTTTTTGAGAGAGAGATAGAGACAGCGTGAGCAGGGGAGGATCAGATAGAGAGGGAAACACAGAATCTGAAACAGGCTCCAGACTGAGCTAGCTGTCAGCACAGAGCCCGAAGTGGAGCTCGAACCCACGAACTGTGAGATCATGACCTAAGCTGAAGTCCGACGCTTAACTGACTGAGCCACTCAGGTGCACCCCCCAAAATTTTTTTTAATGTATGTTTATTTTTGAGAGACAGACTGCCAGCAGGGGAAGGGCAGAGAGAGAGAGGGAGGGAGACACAGAATCTGAAGCAGGCTCCAGGCTCCGAGCTGTCAGCACAGAGCCTGATGCAGGACTTGAACCCACAAACTGTGAGATCATGACCTGAGTCGAAGTCAGATGCTTAACCGACTGAGTCACCCAGGCACCCCTAAAATTTATTTTTAGTATTCGTGAAAATATTTTGGCAGAAATGACTAAAATTTTCATATTCTAGAACATTGTTTTCTCTGTGCCCTAAACTTCTCTTTCCCCCCTCTAGAATGGTACTTAATTCTAAAACGCTAAATGTGAAACCATCTTATGGGGGGGGGTGTAAAAGAGATGATGAAAATGTTTATAATAACTACAGGTTTTTTTAGTTATTATAAAGCTAATAATAGTTTTATATTATTATAAATAAATAAGCAAGGAGCTTTGTGGCCTTTCCTGACAGTGAGTCTTACCAGCTGCTGCTCCACAGGCGGTGGCACATCCTGATTGGCATAAACAATGGCAGGGTTGTAAAGACTGAACACCACAGGGTAAAACACCTTCTTACCTATAAATTAAAATATAAGATTACATCATACAAAGAAGTCATAGAATGAAAGACTGATTAGTACTGCATTTATCAGTATTTTATTAAAGTCTTTCTTTGGTCACATGCTTTTATCAATATTGTATTTTATCAATTTTCAGGCTACCAAACATTATGCTGGATTTGATGAAGTAATGATGATTTTATAATACATCAGTAGGCCAGGCTATGAAATTATAAGCTAAAATACACTAAACAACAGACTAAAGGGTGTTCCACACATTTATTCTCTATCACTTTGGAGAGATACACAAAGGTGTTTTCTCAGCTATTCACTAGGTAAGCCATTTATTAATCATCATTTCATCTAATTAGTAGGGATAGATGTAGGTTAACCTTTGATAATCATCAGAACTTAGAAGCTTCTTTTAAAGCCATCCTTCAAAACAAATCACAGAAATAGTAAATTCAAAGAATATTATAGAATGAACAGGTATGTACAGAATAATTAAAATATGGATTTGAATAAGATTTGCAAAAGCTGGGAAGAGTTAAAATTATCTAATCTAATAGCCACTGCAGAAGCCTTGTCATTAGTATCCAAATTGATAGCACTAAAGGGACCTGTAAAGACTAGCCCATCTTCCCCCCAATAAAGACTGGCCTTTGTCAGATGTGATAATATGAAGTGCTCAGTAACTATCAAGTACCTGTGGCAATGTGGTAGTCTTTTTATTACAAGATCCCAACTAGATGCTCATCTCACTTTTGTTAAAACTCACTTAGAAATGGGGAGCTCAATTCTTAGAGGCAAATCTACTTCTAAGACATAAAAATATTTCTTTTACGTTGAGCAAATATGTTCCCTTCTACTTCCACATTGTGAACTTCATGCTGACTGGTATAACAAAAGTAAACCTAACCCTCATTTATTCACTAGGTTCTCAAAGGGTTCCTGACAATTATCCCTCATGAAAATAATAAGTAATAATTTTCATGATATGAATAGTTCTACATAAAAACATTTACTATGAGATTTTTTAGTACAGAAAAATTCCTTTTCACAAGTAAAATAAGATTTGGTGCTGCCCAGGAGCGCCTGGGTGGCTTAGTCAGTTAAGCATCCAATTTCAGATAAGGTCATGAATTTCACAGTTCATGGGTTCGAGCCCCATGTCAGGCTCTAGGCTGACAGCTCAGAGCCTGGCGCCTGCTTCAAATTCTGCATCTCCCTCTCCTCTGCCCCTTACCTACTCGCACTCTGTTTATCAAAAATAAATAAACATTAAAAAAAAAAAAGATTTGGGGTGTCTGGGTGGCTCTGTTGTTTGAATGTCCAACTTGATTTCAGCTCAGGTCATGATCCCAGGGTCATGAATTGAGCCCTGAGTTGGGCTCCACGTGAAGCCTGCTTAAGATTTATTCTCTCTCTCTCCTCTCTGCCTTTCTCCCCTGCTTGCATGCTTAATCTCTCTCTTTAAAAAAAAAAAAAAAAGATTTGATTTATAAAAGTGTCATTTGCCCATACATTGTCAAAAAAATATCTACAACACAGGCAAAGTATAGTAAATCATCCCCATGTACATAGTATGGACCAGGCACCATCTGTATCTAGGTCTGCATGTGTGTCTTTGTGTCGGCACCACCTGCCTGAGGTAGAGTGCTGCTGGCTCTCACACATCTCCACATTGTCTGCTTGGCTCTTTTTCTGATAAGTGATGCTTCCTCCCTGTCAATTTTAAGGACTTTGCTTTGCTTTTGCTCATCTGGATTCAAATGTTGGCAATGGTATTTGGCCATAAGAGAACAGGGGTATGAACTTCAGAGGGGCAAATTTTCACTTTTCTACTTAACATTCTAGTTAAAGTATGCCTAATATAACTTTAAGAAAACGTAACTTGATTCAAAATATGGGACATGCTGACACTGTTCTAAATTTTTACACTCAGTTCATCTACCAATATTTTACGCACCTGGCTCAGCATTTAACCGGCAGCTGTTAAGGAATTCGGCTGAGAAATATATATCAACATCACAGAAAAACATCAAGACCTCTCCCTTGTCCCAAGCTCGGGCACCCACATTTAGTCCTTGTCCACGATTAAATTCTTCATTCAATGAGATCAAAGTATAATTGTGAAAATTAGACTCACTAGGAGGAAAACATATACAACAAAGGATAAGTCCCACTTAAAACTTAACAACTCTCTTCTTTCAACACAACTTACGCGATATGTTTTACACTCTGGATATTTTAAATTTTGGTTCTACATTCATACAGGGAAAGGAAATCTTCAGCTTCACATGTATGATCATCATCAGGGACAGATATTCACTAAATGCCCATATTTGAGGCAACGTGCTAGTGATGTGAGCTTAAAAAACTGTTGATGGGCCACTGACCTTCAGAATCTTAAAAACTTATTGGGCAGATAAGAAATATACACAGGGAAAAATGGCCATTAATATTTGGTAATATATAATGCATTCCATATGAATGGTACATGCAAAGAGTGCTCTTGGTCTAGTTTTTCAGATCTTTGCTCACATGTCCCCTTATCAGAGGGGTCCCCCCCACACCATATGTGAAGTTGCCCTGACCTCCCTCTCCTCTCTTTCTTTAATATTTATCCCCCTGCTTGGCTTGGCTTTCCTCAGTACCACTGTTTATTTGACTGTCTTCTCACACTGGAATATAAACTCTATGAGAGCAGGGACTTTGTTTTGTTTGTTACTAAGGATACAACGCACCTCCTCAAAGAGTAGGAGTTCAATAAATATTTGCTGAATGAATGAATGAGCAGTTCTGAGAAAAAAGATTGCTTTTGTCTGAGAGTAGTTAGAAAAGATGTTAGAAGCAGAATTTAACTTATGCCTTATTAAAATCGAATTCAGCAGTGAGTTTAGAGGTTATTCCAATCAATTATCTCAAAGGCAAAGAGATAAGAGAGTAGAAAACATTTTAGAGAACAGGGATCAGACAAATCAGATTAGAACAAAGGGATCCTAAAATGAGAGAAGACCAGAAAAGGGTCAGACTGAGGAGTACCTTCTGTGAGAAATTAAAGGACTTGGTCAGTGTCCTTGAGGCAAGGAGGAGTTTTTCTGCCAGGACAGTGAAGTCCCTATAACCATAGCATTAGCCTCCCTGAGAAAGTATTAGAAACCCTCCCTGGGTGGGTCTGGGCCCCATCCCAGACCTCTGAATCAGATACTCAGGGTGACAGTGAGCATCTGTGTCTCTCTTGAGACAGATCACTCCAGGTGACTCTAGTGTTGAAATTGGAGAACTGCTGTGCTAGGGTATAGCCAGGTCAAAAAAAGGGACATATTAGGAAGATAACTCTTAACAACAGTATAGAATGGGGAATGGAGAGATGGAAGCAAAGGCTCAAATAGTGTATGGAATGGACTCCGTGTGCTCTGAATGCCCATGCTGCCCTTCTCATGGGATACAAATCTCTCCTTTCTTCTGGGAAAACTGATTACCACCTCACACTCCCAGCACCCAGTGGAGGAATGAATTGCAGACCACCCCAACCACAGTAACTTCCTAGGGGCAGGGACCAGACTCAAGCTGGGCCAATCACAATACCCCCACCCCACCTGGCCATAGTGAGCGGCTCAAGAGTGGGCAAAACTCCTTCCCTGGGCTTTTCTCAACTGGATCTGGGAGAAAGCTTTTTCCTCTCTGATGGCAAAGCTGAGAAGATGTGAGCCCAAAGCCGCCAACAGCCATATACCTCACATGTGGAAGAAGCCAATCTGCAATAGGAGAATGAAATCAACATGCAGAGAAAAACAGACAAGAAGATAACAAGAGAATTGTCATGGTATTCAAGTCTCTGGTTCCAGTCCTTAAGATACCAAAGCTGTTTTGGTTTTCTTCCCCAAATTTGGTAATAATCTCCTTAGTTTGGGAGCTATCCAAGATTCTTCCATAACATTCCCAGTTTCCTTAAGTATTCCTTAAGTTTAAGATAGGTTTCCATCATGTGCCACAGAGGAGTCTTGATTAATGCAGGGACAACTTCAGTAATACCAATGGAAGTGCTTGGCACTTAGTAGGTGACCTGAAAATGGTAAGGAGGGAAGAGCAGGGAAGAAATGAAGGTAGGGGAAACCTGGGTTCGGGTGGTGGCAGCAGCAAGGAAAGAACGGAGAAGTCCTGTGTAGTAAGCAAGAACTAATTAGAGGTAAAGAATGAGTGAAAGATGCTAGCTCTCACACATTAAGCCTAGGGGATCACAAGAATGGTCTTAGTATGAACTGAAAGAGGGCCATCAGGAGAAGAAGCTAGTATGAAGGAGGAGACAATTTTTTTTTTTTTTTAAATCCACGTGCTGTGAGTGTCCCTTTGGGGTAGGGACTCCAAGTCCTTCCTCTGTGCCCATCCTATTCCAACCACCCCAGTCAGACTCCCAAGCAGTGTACCTGGAACATAGTCGGTGGGACTCAATGAATGTTAGTTGAATGGTTCGAGAGGAATGGCCGGCCAAATCTGGACTCTTAGGGAATGGCCACAACTAGCAGAAAGGTAAAGGAGCAAGTAAAAGGATACAGAGTTGGCAGTGGACAAGACAAACAACCTAATATCTTACATTGTAATATATTTACATTTACAAAATATTTACATTTTACAAACATCAGAGGAAAGTGTCAAGAAGGAACTACTGGTTGGTTAGGCAGCAAATGTAAAAAAGCAATCAAAGAGGATGACACAGAAAAGGTTGAATTTGGCAGCTAGGTCATAACTTTGGGCCCATAACTTAGAGATGAAAAGGCAGAAGAGCTGTAGAATTAATAATGGAGTATTAAGGAATTAAAAATTCATTCATTCAAACCTCTGAGTACTTACTATGTGCCAGGTACTGTATGAATTGCCTAATTAGAGAATTACTGTTCTATGAGGTTTCGCCATGGGAGGACAGAAACCTGCTAGTAGCTAATGAGTATTAGAAAGTCAGGTGGTTGTGTCTCAAGGACAGGGGAGACCTAAGCATCATCTGCAGGGCAAGAAGAATGAACTTTGGGAAATGGAAGGGAAGAAAAGGTGATGAGTGAGAAAGAAGCTCAGGAGGTAATATCAAAGTGAAGGGATTAGATTTAGAAAAAGGGGAAGAGTCCAACAGAAGGGAATGAAGAAGTAATAAATGGAGGCAAATAAACAGAAGATGGGTGGGCCACAGAGTGAGAGAGCCCAGATCATGCTAGGCTATCTGCCAAGAGGATAGGGAAGACAAATTATTTAGAGTTGCATGAGTGAACTAAGGGGTGAAATGAAGAACTTATTATCACCACCACTCAGGTGCCCAGCCAACTTTTAAACAGCAGCTATTCAAAATTAACTCATTAAATATCTGAAATTCTCATTCTTCTAATGTTACATATCAAGGACTTCAATGTGGACATGGCTCACCAACCTTGTGACAGATTCTAGGATTGACTTGACTTTAGATAGTCCTTCTTTACCAAAATACACCACTGTGAGATGAATTCTCTTGTCCTGATGAATACACACATCCCTAACAGAATTGAAAAATAAAGTTCATTCAAGAAAATATATAAGGCACTACTCATTCAGAAAGCAATCACATGAAGCTTTAACAAAATGAATGTGGCATTACTCATTTAGAATGAAATTGCATGAAGCTTTAAGTAAATACAAGAGCGGCAATATTGTTGAATTATTAAAGAAGTCACAGCAAACGCATACCAACGGCACACATGAACATAACCCTTGGAGGCTCATGGAAGTTACCATATTTCAAAATTGTTTTGAACCATTTGCTTTGGTATTGCCTTCAGAAGCAGATACACGCTATTTAAGGAAAGAAGTCTAATCAGTTCATAAACAAATAAATATTCAAGCTGTTGGTCAAAAGTTATTTTGTCTTCAGACTAATTCCAGAAATTATGCCTATCATTAAGGAATAAATATCTGCCATCACTGATATTACTTACTGTAAAGAATAATGTAGCATCTGAAAGCAATTCCAAGAAAAGTAGTAAAAAATGCTTTAGGAAATCAGATCTCAAGTGAGCGATTTCAAACAGGCAAAACTCATTTGGAAGCATGATTTCTATATATTCTGCTAGAGAACAGCATTAACTAACTTTTAAATCCAATGATTTCAATATGAGAATAAAGATGGGGATTATAAAGCATTAAAACTAGCATATTAAAATATTAAAAACATGGCAAAGGTTAAAACAAAATAGCAAAACCTTCCCCAATTAGCTACCCTAATAACATACTTATTAATTTTTTTAACACTTTAGCATTTTAAAATTTCCAAATTTAATGACAAAAAAGTTTTTAAAAATCATTAAACTCTCTGCTTTTCAAGATGAAATAACTGTCTCCCATTTTTAGTTGAATGTATTTACAAAATTGAATTCAGGTTTGTTCTCAAGGGAATCTCCTGGGGAAACAACATTGTCCTATATCTTGATTGGGAAGGCAATTATGAGTGTACAGATTTGTCAAAAGTCATGAAACTTCTATTTAAAATATGTGGGTTTTATTATGTAATTTATACTTTAAACTGGCCCTAAAATGAATTCACACACAATTATAAAGGTCATCAAATGTAGTTTCTAATAGTTGTCACTATCAATTTATTTCAAAGTCCAAACTGTCAATAACACACTATATTATACATGCCTTTAAAAAGAGAATATCAAAAGTTAAAATTCCCCAGTCTATAAAATTACTCTATAATTCTAAGTAATCATACTCATTGAAGATGAATTAAGTAAATCTGCATGAAATGTGATTTTTTTACGAGTGCTTAGTCAAATCATGACACCCTGAGAGTTACCTGAAGTTCTGCATAAACTGCGCAAATGCTTCTGTTCTTTCAGCAAGTGGCACAATGATATTAATAATTGATCTAGTAATGTCAATCATCTCGCTCTTCACTTTCATGAGAGGTCCAAAAGGGCGGAAGAGGGTCACATGTCTATATTCCATAAGGTCTGCTTTCTTAAAAAAGAGTTCATACTGTGTGCCCTTATCTCTCTCGGTGCGATAATAACCTAAAGGGAAGAGTTAGGGACAAAGACGTCTCCATGTCAAAGGTTACAAATTCAATGTGAATATTGATTTTACTCAAAGATAAAGAGTACAAAACCAGACTGCAGGGTTTTTAATCATTTTGTGAAAATATTTACCCCATTGTACAGTTATAAACAATTCTTTCTTTAAAAGGAGAGGTTAAAAAAATGTTCACTGCTCTATTATTATTCAATCCATAAATATGCTCCAAGTCGTAATTGTTCTTTTTTACGTAACTTTTTTAATAGTAGGGCCTATCAACACAGTAATCTTATGATAAAAATAAATTACTTCTAGCAGTATTAAATTCTAGACCTGAGAGTCAAAACTTCTATTGCTCAGTTCAGTTCAATGAAAAGACATGGAATGCCTTCATGTCATTCATTGGTAGTATAAAGAGGGCAATGTGGTCCTGGTTTTGAGGAAGGGTTAATCTAGTGAGGGAGACAGAAAAATAAGTAAAAACAATACAATGATATATACCTTACTCTACACACACACACACACACACACACACACACACACTCTCTCTCTCTCTCTCTCTCTCTCTCTCTTTCTCTCTCTCTCTCTCTCAAGAGAGTGAAGTCAAAGAAAAATTAGTACAGACTTAAACATGGTGATGTGAGATGTCCCCAGGAGAAAAGTTTGGAAGTCTACTGGGCAATTTGATTTTTAAGTGTGACATTCAAGAGAGAGGTAAGACCTATAGATGTGTGAGTCAGTCAATATCTGGGAATAAAGCAATGAACAAGATAGATCAATTCCACTCCCTCTGAGGCTTACAGTCTAAGAGGAACTATAAGTCAGGAAACAGACAATGCCAAATACCATGACAAGTGCTATAAAAGGGGACATGGGTAGAGGTAATAGGAGCACACAGGAAGCACTGATATCTTAGACTTGTAGATTGGAGATGACTTCTAAATGAAGTGACATTGAAGCTAAAGTCTGGAAGAGGAATAGGAGTTACTCAATATCTATCTATCTATCTATCTATCTATCTATCTATCTATCTATTATTTGCAAGGGGAGTAGCATAGTGGAGGAAAAGTGGGGAAAAAATATGTTCCATATAGAGAAAACTCCTGTTAGTGAAAGATTCCAAAGAGTTATAAGATAAGCAGAGGTTGTAAAATATACAACTGACATAGCTTCCTTTCTTTTTAGGCAGATGTGAAGACAATTTACATTTCAGTGAGTTATTTCCTCAGCTGCTTTCAATTCTGACATAAACTACAAATATGGTAAAAAGAAATAAGCTGAAATTGCAGAAAAATTAGAAGAGTTTTGAGAGAAACAACCCATCCGAAATTGCAGTATGTGACAGCAGAAAAAAGAAGTGACAACGATGAAAAGATAGCTGAAATGCCATGGAAAAGCACAATGCCCTCCAAGAATCTCAAGGTACTACCATACTGTAGTATAACAAGTACTATCCATGATGATTCAGGGTCAAAGAAACTACATATGGTCTACTGTTCATAGAATCAAGCAAAGAGAACTTTTAAGAAAGATTTATATCCGAAATAGTTTTAAGTTTGTAACTAAATATCTAGCAGGAGGTGTTAAGTTGGAAATGGGTAGGGATCTGTAATTATTCCTGTTTCTATCAATCAGCAAATGTCTTAAATTTATAGAAGTGTTCCTCAACTTTTGAGTCATACCCCATTTTGGTATGTATAAATGCTATCCCCTTTCTGCAGTCTGTAATAAAAGCCAGGTTATTTCTTTACTTTTCCAAATGCCAAATATGCTTTTCAAAACTATGTATATGCCTCCTTGCTGTTCTGACATGTGCTCTTCTTCCCCCTAAAATACAGAATAAGCACCAATCTACTAAATTAGGGTTTTTTTCTTTCCCTTATCAAATAGTTTTCAAATCATTAACCTTAGTTCATACATTTTAAAAATTATAAAAAGGAACATCAAGACCAGATAAGAGAGGAATGCACATACATACATGTATACACATAGCCCTAAGAGCCCTTTAACTTGAGTAGTACTCTTCTACACAAAATTAGAAATATTCTATTTCCCTGGTCCTTATTCTCTATTTTATTATGATCACAATTAACTTTTTTTTTTTTTTTTAAAGCCACTTCAGGGCACCTGGGTGGCTCAGTTGGTTAAGCATTCAACTCTTGGCTTTGGCTTAGGTCATGATCTCATGGTTCGTGAGACTGAGTCCCACATTAGGCTCTGCATGGACAGAATCCCTGCTTGGGATTCTTTCTTTCTCTCTCTCTCTCTCTCTTTCTCTCTCTCCCCTCCCCCCCCTTCCCCTACTCTCTGTCTCTCAAAAATAAATAAATAAACTTAAAAAGCCACTTCAAATTCTTGGTGGAATGAAGTAGGTAAAAAATTAAATGTTTCAATACTGTAAATAATGACTTATATTACCAGCATACAATAATAGCATTTTGTCAAACTATGTATGAGCACATTTTTCACATTACCTTCTATGAAGTCATTTTCATTAAATATCATTTTCTCTCCAAGGGGGCTGTCCTCATCTTCCTGTTCATCATCTTCATCAGGATTATTAATAACCTCTAAGCCAGCTTCAATAACTTCTACCAATTCATCTCGCTTATCTTTTCTAACTGGCTTTTCCTCAGGATGGCGAGTGAGACCCATTTCCAACTGGAATACTTTCATTAAGGTAAAACTTTCAAAAGGAATGACTCCATACTCACTAGGTAGTTTGGCTCCTATGCTAACTTCAGCTTTGTCAATTTGGGAATGAAGAAAATCTAAAAGATCACTAGGTGTTTGTTCTTTGTTGCCTTGATAGCCTATGCCATTAGCCCCTACATTCTTCCTCTCTTGCAAGGATCTCATCTTCTCACTCATTTCTTGTAATTCTTGCTTTAGTTGGGCAATTTGGCGTTTCAGACTGGTAGCTCTGGTTTGGTAATGTTCTTCTTGCTCCTGCAGGAGGGCTTGATAATACTCTTTACCGTAATTTTCCCCAATAACACCAGGAAGAGGTGCATTTCCATCAGTCTGGGGGGCGCATTCCAGAAGGTATAAAAATAATACCAAACTGCAGAGTAAAGCAAGACCCAACAGCAGCCAGTGGGTCCGGGTCTGAAGAATCAATCCTCTTCTAGGCATTCTTATTCATGTGGACTTGCCTAATGAGGTAAGTTTTTTGGTTGTTCATATCTTTAGAAAAAGCTTATCAAAAATTAAAAATGAAATCAGGATTTCCATTAAAGGTACCAAAATGAACTCTGCTATAGCTTAAAAAATTTCCATCAGCAGTGAAGACTACTTGCAGAAATGAGAAATAGTGCATACTTCCTGTATTGTTACCATGACATCCAGAATAAAGAAATCTGATCTACAGAATCAGATAAAATTCCATTATATGTGTGGTGATTTTTCTGAAACAAACAGATCAGAATCAATCAGAATTTTGTTTCCTTAAACATTTCAAACTGTTGGTAGTTTCAGTAAACTTAGCTATGTGACTACTATATGTAGAACACCATGAGAAGTGCTAATACAATGTAGAATATTCAGTAAATGCTGGGAGACAGTATTAAGAAAAATATCTTATATAACACTAAAATGCCATATGTAATACTTTTAACCAGATAACCTCCTGAATAAATCAAAGAAACATGAAAATTATGTTTAGCATAGTTTGTGTTACATAGACAGTTTCTTATTACTTAAAATTTATATAATTTATAACTTTATTAACATAATATTTAGATTAATATGCCATTTCCCACCTAGAGCATATCACCATTTGGGAACCAAGTTTCTATAAGTTGTTTTTGTTATATTGATAATGGCTTACTAGAGAGATATATTTTCTTCCAGTTTATTCAGTTCAAGCGATTTACTTCATTAAATTTCTATGGATGAACTCAGCAAATATTAAAGCCTTAAAATTAAGTGAGGGGGGTGGGGAAGGACAATTCCAAAAGGTCACAGACATCTGGAAAACACATTAAGGAATATTTTTACATCCAAAGTCCTCCCATAGAGTATTTGGGCATTAGATCACATAATTCTTTCCACTGTATTATACAGCAACAGATTTCCTACAAGTCTGGAAAGGTTTAGAGTCTATTTAAAAAATAAACAAAACAAATAAAAAACAAAACCATGACCATTTTAATGTTTATCCATGAGGAAAAAAATTCAAAAACCATTTACAAATTTACAAAATCACATACTCTGTTCGTACCACAACCAATTGTGTGAGGTCTTCTGTATTTCTCTTTAAACTAAGAATCCTTAATTCTATAAATAGAGAAGGTTAAATTTAGGAGACAGGAGGCAGGGGAGGTCCCTGTTACAGAGAGGATTTTCATTCTAACAAAGTATTTGTCAAGAAGGATATGTGATACTCCAGCAGGCTTTTTATAGAGATGGTTTCTACCAGTGTGGCAGACCCTATGGTAGATCACCAGAGAACATCAGTCCTAGTCACTTTCTTAGTGAGTAGGGAAAGCCTGAATGCCTTCTGTGAAAAATACTGCAATGTGTGTTGTGGTTTTGTTGTTGTTGTTGTGTGTGTGGGGGGGGGGGGGGCGCATATCTGTATAAAAATGCAGGATAGACTCAAACTTCTTATGGCTAGTAGACCACCAATAATGGTAACCACCCTTAGCCATTTATTACTTTTGTTAACCAAATGATTACCAAGTATCATGAAAACTTTAATTTACTACTAGAAGTTTTACTATGATGGCATCTGTTTTGATGATATATCTTGTTTTAAGTGATATAGAAAAAATAGGAAAAATTTTGGTATAAATAAAAGTATCTAGGGGTGCCTGGGTGGCTCAGTCAGTTGAGCATCCAACTTCAGCTCAGGTCATGCATGACCTCATAGTTCAGGAGTTCAAGCCCTGCATCAAGCTCTGTGTGGACAGCTCAGAGCCTGGAGTCTGCTTCAGATTCTGTGTCTCCCTCTCTCTGCCCTCCCCTGCTCATGCTCTCCCTCTCTCTATCAAAAACACACTAAATTTTTTTTTTTTAATTTTTAAATGTTTGTTTATTTTTGAGAGAGAGAGACAGAGTGTGAGCAGAGGAGGGGCAGAGAGAGGCAGACACAGAACCCAAAGCAGGCTCCAGGCTCTGAGCTGTCAGCGCAGAGCCTGATGCGAGGCTCAAACTCACAAACCATGAGATCGTGACCTGAGCCGAAGTCATTTAACTGACTGAACCACCCAGGCACCCCTAAAAATTTTTTTTAAAGAAATGTATCTAATTAAAAAATAAGGATGCAAAGCTAATATTAATTCTAGGACTTTACCATGTCTCAAAACTATATTTCTTAGTATAAGATACAGCTTGAATGTCATTATTTAAAAGATAAAACTCAGAGGTATCTCTAAAGACTAAAATTGAAAATGCAGAGCCATAATCTTGTATAAGTTATTAATAAAGCTATATATATTTAACACATTCTAGGTAGTTTTGCTATAAGCATTTTTGCCACAAGCATTGTTGCTATATAACTAATAAGGTCATAAGGCAATTTGCTGTAAAAGATTAAAATAATAACTGGATGACAGTTTCTTGGTTTCATCAACTAGATGACAGCATCTCTCCAGTGGCATAGTACTCCCATTTTTAAATTATGTAAATCTTAGCCCCCATAATGTTCTATGCAGTGGCAGAATTTTGAAACTACCTTTCCCATATAATTTTGGAATGTCTATCAATAGACATCTGACAATATGCCAAGAACAAACAACAGCGTAGAAGGCTTTCACAATATAATACAAAGCTCTGTTACAAAGATGTATCCTAGTATTTGGAAACTGATGGCTCTCTTTAATGAAGCAAAAAATGTTTGTGAAAAAAGAAAGTGCAATACTGAACAAGGACATGAATCAACAAGCAAAAAAAAGTATAATACTATGAACAAAAGACTTTGAAGACAAGTGCCTAGGTACAATTCACAAAATAAAATCAAGTTATTTGCGCAATATTGCCATGAATCTACACACATTTTAAATATATTCAAATATTTTGTATTTTATAATAGCCTTTTAAATTTTGTTTTTCATTTTTCATTATGTCCTTTTTAATAAATGCCCCTCTTTTATTTTTCATGATTTTATCTTTTATGGTGAAGTTGCTTTATGGCCAATTAGCTATACAGCAAAAATGCTTGTGGCAAAGATGCTGCAAAAACATCGGACATGATTTAACTAAATATAGTATTCTCAAATTGTTTTGAAATGAAATTTGAGGGACGCCTGGGTGGCTTAGTCGGTTAAGCATCCGGCTTTGGCTTAGGTCATGATCTCGCGGTTCGTGGGTTCAAGCCCCGCGTCGGGCTCTGTGCTGACTGCCAGCTCAGAGCCTGGAGCCTATTGCCTATTTCAGAATCTGTATCTCCCTCTCTCTCTGACCCTCCCCTGCTCACGTTGTCTCTCTCTCTCTCCTAGAAATAAAAAAAAAAAAAAAAAAGAAATGAAATTTGATTAATGGAACTAACAGTATATAGTCTAAACTGTGAGATGTAATCCATTAAAAGGGTCACTACTAAGGGTTTATTTTTCAATGAAATTGAACAGGAACTATCAGTGTATACCACATATGACAGCAAGTTTTTATTACAATTATATATATGTATATGTATGAGATCTCCAAATAAAATATAAGAGGGTTGTGGTCCAAAAATCCTGAACAAGACTGATTTATAAAGTATTTTTATACATTTCCTATGCCAATTTTAAAAATAATGTTTATATCACAGCCAAAGTATGGAGAGAGTAAATGTGTATCAACTGATGAAGGATTGTGTATGTATATAAAATGGAGTATTACTCATCAATCAAAAAGAATGAAATCTTGCCATTTGCAACAATGTGGATGGAACTAGAGTGTATTATGTATGCTAAATGATATTAGTCAGTCACAGAAAGACAAATATATGACTTCATGTAAATGTGGAATTTAAGATACAAAACAGATGAGATGGGCATGGAGGAGGGCACTTGTGGGGATGAGCACTGGGTGTTATGTGGAAACTAATTTGACAATAAACTATTTGTAAAAATAAATAAATAAATAAATCTTAAAAAAAAAAAGATACAAAACAGATGAACATAAGGGAAGTGAAGCAGCAATAATAAAAAAACAGGGAGAGGGACAAAACCTGAGAGATTCTTAAATACAGAGCACAAACTGAGGATTGCTGGAGGGGTTTTGGGTGGGGGGATGAGCTAAATGGCAAGGGGCATTAGGGAGAACACTTGCTGGGATGAGCACTGGGTGTTATATGTAGGGGATCAATCACTAGATTCTACTCTTGAAATCATTATTGCACTATATGCTAACAAATGTGGATGTAAATTAAAAAAATAATATAACAAACAAAAAATAAAATAATGTTGATATTTTCATTTTGGATAAGAACAATAAATACAGAAATGAAAGGTTTAAATAAAAGTTCTATAAAACTATTAAATGGTAGCATTAAAAAACCAAGGTCTTTCCCTCCTTTAAGCAAAAGACAGGTTTTAAGATATCTTACATGCTTATTTACAGTTAAATCTCTTACAATTGAATATTACCCACTGAAATGAAAGAAAAGTTGCTGTAATTGCTTTAGAATATAAATGTTATTTGTATAGCTCTGTGGTTAAAAATAAAAGATACCAAATTAAAGACTTACTTGCCTAGTTAGTGAAGGGAACTCTTTAGCCAAACCCTTGACTAGATTATAACAACTTTAAATAAGTTAAGTAAAAGTTGGAGAAAAGATCCATTTTTCAGCTGTTACAGCTTGATTGCCATCATTCTATGTAATGTGTTTCTATCATAAACAAGGTTTATTCATAACCCAGAGTTAATCCCAAACAACCTTCTATGTACAAACAGCAAACAGTTTAATGTTGTGAGAAGAGAATGAGATACTGTGGAGATAGGAAAATGAGCTGTTCGAAATATATAATACAAAATCAAAGATCTCAGAGTTAAAAAGAAACCTTAGGAGTCATCAATTCTTATTCTTTTTTTTTTTTTTTTTTTTATTTCTAGGAGAGAGAGAGAGAGAGACAGCGTGAGCAGGGGAGGGTCAGAGAGAGAGGGAGTCACAGACTGAAACAGGCTCCAGGCTCTGAGCTGGCAGTCAGCACAGAGCCCGATGCGGGGCTCGAACCCACGAACCGCGAGATCATGACCTAAGCGAAAGTCGGACGCTTAACCGACTAAGCCACCCAGGCGCCCCAATTCTTACTCTTTAAAACACATTAAAGAGACTTCTTATAGCCTAGATGAAACAATAGGGGCAGATTTACTCTTGCACTTGAAACAATAAAAAATGAACCAATAAAATTTAGAACCTGCTCCTCCCAATATAAAACAATGCTTTTCAAGATACTGAACACTGGGTAACAAAGGACAGTGA